GGTAGCACGTTCCCTTCTGCCCTGGACCTAGAGAGGTTGGGTTCTCCGTTGCAGTGGCTTCGCCCTGAGCAGCATCATCTGACTGGGCAGGGAAGAAGTTCTGTCCTAGAAAAGTGGCAGGGGCCACCAGGGTTCCCTGCCTGAAATGAAACCTGGCAGTCGTGGATGATTCACAAAGCAAATGACTGAAATGTCTTGAGGGTGGCCATGCCCTTTGGGGAAATGTGAGACCCACCAAACCAGGAGCCTGGCCTAGGGCTGGAACTCAGTGGACCCCTGGCTTGTCACAGATATGTGGGCTGAGCTCATCTGGAGAGGATTTTGTCACAGTAGCATTCTCTGGATCATTCATAGTCTGGTTTTCAGGTCTTAGCACCAGAGGTGCCTTTCCAGGGGTAGCCCCAGGATCCTTGGCTGTAGCTTTTTGCCTAAGATATTTAAGACGGATATAGAAATGTCTAGACTTCCACACCGTTCCTAGACCTAAGCGAAGCTGTTCTGACTCCCACCACTTCCCTATCCTTAAGGATTAACTTCACTCTCAATCCAGCCCCTTCTAACCACAGGTAGGCAGAGCCACTTGCAGACTGTGACACACGTCAGCACACATCTCCCCCGGCTCTTTTTAGAACCCTGGGGGAAGGTACCCACAAGTTTCAAGTCTAGCACCAGTGAGTGTCTGAGCCTACAGCACCCATCTCTGTTAAGGTCTCCAGGATAAGATTCTTGGGCTTTCCTGGGTCAGCCATCAGGGCATTTCCTTGGTGGACAGGAAGCCCCTCCTTCTGGTCCATGTAAGATGCCTCCACCTTTCACTCAAGTGCATTTCCTCTTGCTGTCCTCAGTGAGATTTAGTGTCCTTGCTTCCCTCCCCCACCCCTGTAGTCCTTCCTTCAGGTCCACGATGATTATATGCATGAAGCGGATGAATTGGATCTTTTTGTAAATCACCTCCTGATTTGTATGGCAAATGGATTGCATTTTCCTATATCAGATTTTCCTAAATCTGCATATGGCACCTGCCTTGCTGGGCTCTGCATACACAACTATCTCAAAAATGAGAGTATTTGTTTTAAATTTGACAAGTCACAGAGCACTTTCTCTTCTTCACTCTCGCAGCAGCCCAGCGTCAGGCTGAATAAGGCAAACGTCACTCACATTACAAACAATGGCATGGGCTGGAGGGGCTTGGACCAAGGCACACAGCTGGCAGGTTGGGGCCAGGGTCACACATGGGTCTTCTGACTCCAAGTCCAGTGCCCCCTTTCTCTACACTGTAGCCACCTCCTGAGGGTACTGCCTGGACTGGGAAAGCCCAGAGGATGCTGGGTGGTCGAGGTGTGAGGTTCAGAAGGAACTTGCCCAGGATTAGCTTGTTGCTATGGACACTGCCCAGAGCCTATGATGGAGGAATGAGCCCCCAAACGACCAGCCTGGTATAAGGCTCGTCCCAAGCCACTTAACACTCACAGCTTATATTGCAGAAATGCCAAGGTGTTTGCAAGACATTGCCCTCTTCTGGGACAGGCATTATAATATCCAATTTATCAATCTCAACACTGTTTATTCAACAATATTTACTTCTTCCCTATATATACACATACACCATAGCAGAGCAGTGGACAAGGTGCCCTTGACCATTAAGAGTGATGTTCTGTCCTTTTTCTAACCTGATCCTAGTATATAGGACCAATTCTAGCCACGTGCTTGGAGGAAGGTGCCTTCCACCTAGGACACTGAGGATTGACTGGAGAGTGGCTTCTGCAGAAAGCACCGTCATGGCAGAGGCTGCTCAGCGACAGGCATGCCCCCTGTCTCTCTCGGATCCCCAGGAGAGGGGGTCCTCAGATGACCCCCTTTACCATGTAGCCAGCCAGTGTTCCATATGTGAAATGACACTGACTTCCCGAAAGAAGAAAATCGCATTGTCCCTGATACTTCCCATATCTGACAGCAGGCACAGTCCTGACAAGTTTATGTGCTAAGTGTCCATCCTCATTCTGTCCTGCCAGCCAGAGCTGTTGTTTTTTGAGTCTTCCCAAAGATGCCTGGATTTTCAGATGGCTTGACTGGGGACTTGAGCACGCTCCCTGGGGCATGGTTCTTCTGCCACAGAGAGACAGAGGCAGGTGGTGACTGTGGAGCTTGGAGACATCTCTCCTGAGTGCCCAGCCCTTGAAGGTGCAGTTTCCACTGCCCCTGGAGGAGACCCGCCCACAGCTAGTGTTGATAGCCTGCCCATTGCGCCCTCTGGTGGGGACCCAGTGGCCCAGTCTCCCGCCCCTGGCTGAGGGATATTTGCAAGGTGACTTTGGGCTGGGACTCAGGCATTGTGATGAGCAAGTGCATAATAAAATGGGACTTGGGGGTTTAAAAGCTGCATTCTAATACAGCGCCTTCTCCACGGTGATTTTAGTGTCATTTGATGGAAGATGACTGAGCAGGGGAGGGGTGATCCAGACCTAAGATGAGCTGCTCATTATGAAATTCCCTTCAGGCTGACTCTTAGACACCAGGTCTCTGTGCACACAGGTTGCCTTCTGAGCTTCTGGAGGCGGGCATCTCTGGACAGCAGTCCTTCCTGGCCATGCTGTGTCCTGTCTCCAAGGCTCCTTACTCTGGCTGGATTAGTATCTAGGGCCCTTTTCCTGCCAGAAGGAGTCAGCACCAAAACCTTCCTCCTCTCTACCCCCTAGACAGGTGTTCCTGCCCAGCATCTTCCTGGATCTGCATCCCACCAGAGGTGAAAATGTTCCCCTTCATCTCACACTGTGCCTCCCCAAGCCCACCCCACCCTCTTACCCTAAGACAGAACAGGGGAGTTTGCTCTTTGTAGAGGGAGGGGTTCCAATGCCCGAGAAACCAGAAGTCCACTGTCTGAGGGCTGCGGGGGAGGTGTTCTACCAAGATAATACCGCCGTTTGAATATCTCGGCTTGATATTTGCCTTCGTGAGTGAGACGGGCCAAATGTTATCTGCAAGTTTAATCTTCTATATTCAAACATCCCAGTCCCCTTTGTCTTCCAGCACATTCCCAAATAAGCCATTGGTGCTTGCTCTAAGCTATAATTCTTTTTCTCCTTCTCTCTAACCTCTTCTCTCCATCAGCCTGTTTGTTCATTTATGGGCTGCAGCTTCAGGGGCTCACCTTGGGGCTTCCAGAGGCAACAGTTTCTATTTTCTCTGCTGAGTCCGGATCCAGACATAGCTTGGATGGGTCTCCTTTGTGTCTTCAAGTCCCCACTTGGTCTTTTGCCAGCCTGGCAGTGAGGGGTATCATCAGTCTCTTCCCACACCTGTGGCAAGTGGGTGACAATCAATCCACTTGTAGCTTCTTCAAAGCCCCAGGAGAAGTGAGGGCCTCTGCACAGGCCCCCAGGCAAGAGCGACTCTGATGTCCACTTCAGATGCTCTTTCCTTTCTGCCCTGGAAGGCAGCTGTCTTGGACGGAGGGGATGCCGAGGGAGGCAGAAGGGAGAGGCGAGCCTGCAGCCTTGTGGAACTAAAGACGTCTAGGAGTGTGATGCTGAGACCGGCCACTCCTACCAGACTGTTGCCCTAAAGCGGCCAGCCCCAGACTCACCATGAGGTTGAAACGAGAACTTAACTTTTACCATTAAAAAGAGTTTGTGATTCTTTTGTTTTGTTTTATTCCATTTTGGAAAAGAAAATGAAGTTTAAACTACTAAAGGGAAATAAAGATGAGATAAAATTAACCTGGTCGATAGACTGTGCCCCTCTTTGGGAAGGGCATGATGGGATTCGGGGGAGGCAGACTGAAGAACCTGAGGAAGCATCACGCTCTGCCTCCCCCCCCCCACCCCCATTCCCAGACACAACCTGCCACTCTCCAGGTGTGTGGGTGTCAGGTCGGTCCTCTGTCACAAAGGTGCATTCCAGGCTTTCTTTTTCTCAGTGTGGAGCTTATACCTGAGGATAACTAACAGAGCAGGCATTTCGGACAGATAAGCTTTAGCTGTAAATTGGTTTAGTTGGTATGCTGCATTCATACTTCTTTGTCTTTTTTGTTGTTGTTGTTTAAACAAAAGGAAAAAAAGGCTTAAATCCCCCCCTTTCCTTCTCCTGCAGGAGGTGAGTGTGTGGGCGTCCTGTAGGACCATTGGCTCCACCCCAGCTTTAGCCCAACCTTCAGGTTACCATCCCCACCCCATCCCCTCCCTCCATCCCCTGCTCTCCACCCCAAAAGGGAACCCTCTGTCGCCATCATTACCGTTACGTTAAGATGCCCGAACTCTCCATGACATAACCCATCCTCCGACCACTTCAGTATTAATGACTTTCATGCAGGGATATAAATGGGAGGGGTGGGAAAGGAGGGAGTAGCCAGTGGGGAGGGGGAGCGGGTGGGGGAGGGATGCAGAATGGAGATCTTTTTTTGTCTTTTTTTTTTCCTTTAAACAAATTTGTCATTTAATGGATCCAAAAGAAAAGAAAGAAAAATGAAACATACACACAAAAAAAATTTTAAAAATCCCCTCCCCAAAGATTTTTTTTTTCCTAGACACAAATTGCTTTGTTTCCTGTCACGTTTTAATATCAATATTAACACAATGTGTAGTCTAAAACTAGTTCCTTTGTAGTTTGCATGGGATGTGAATGCTGTCTCAACGTGCCCAAATCTAGAAGACTGCATGAGCGTCAATTCAGATGTGAAAAAAAAAATCTCTCTCTCTCTCTCTTTCTCTCTCCTCCATATATATCTCTATTTCTATTGTGATAATTTGGTGGGCAGTGAAGCACCTCCGGTTGGTTGCCGTAGTGTGTTGAATGATCGTTTTTTTCTTCTCTATTTTTGGAGCTCCAAGCTTCTTAGTAGTAGCCTGGGCTGAGTATTCTTGAGTCCCTGCTCATGTTTTCGCATGGCCTTGGTTGAGTGTTAGAAGTTGGGCCTCAGCTGTTTTTCTCGAGTGTTTGGCTTGTAATGATCGGTGCATGCCTGGCTTCTGGCCTCATACCCAGCTCTATTCTCTGCACACCAGTCCTGAATAGCTACAGTGCTCAACCGAATTTTGGCGCGCCCGCTTCCCCGGCAGGCTCCAACCCGGCGCGGCCCGGAGGCTTCCCGGGGGCCAACAGCCCAGGACCTGTCGCCGATCTCTATGGCCCTGCCAGCCAGGACTCCGGAGTGGGGAATTACATAAGCGCGGCCAGCCCACAGCCGGGCTCAGGCTTCGGCCACGGCATAGCTGTAAGTACCTGCCTTCCTGCCCTCCTGCCTCCTGTTACCTGACCAACTCCTTGCAGCCCATGAGTTAGGGGCAGAGGAGAGGACCCATCAACGGTCCCGCCAGCTACTGAAGGCTGTCGCTGCTCTGTCTAGACACATACCAAGGACCTCCTAAGTGGCCCGGTGATGAACTAGAACGTATGTGAGCAGTTCAGATTCATGTCACCACTCCGTCACCTTCAGCCCTTGTGACCTTGAGCCACTTACATAACCCCGTGAACCTCACGTACCTGGCTGCAGAACAAGAATAGTTTACCTCCCTCCAAACATTGGGTGAGAATGAGCAGAAACAGTGTGCACCCTGCACATAGTAGGTCCTCAGTGTCAAGCCACCCCCCTCACATCAGGGGTAGTCATCTTAGTCAGCAGAGTCCCCGACTGATGTCCATTGGCAGCTCTGGTACCTGGGAGGTGGTGAGGAGGGCGAGCCCCCTCCCAGGCCATTTCTTTTGCTAACATTTCTTACAATTTCCAGGTTCCAAGTAAGTTCCCATTTGCGTTCTTTAGCTGTGGCCCCCCGAAGGCCAGATGCATTTGATATTTGTAATGCTCTGTGGTTCTATAATCTGACTAATCCAGGCAATGGAAATTTGCTTAACAGATTTGCATGCTGTTTTCAGATTGTATTGTTCTTCTCCCTCCTGGTGTGTGAGCATGAATGTGCCTGAGCCCCACTTGCTCGCTTCCCCTTCCATTTTGGAAACAGAAAACTGGCCAACGCCTGCCCTAGCCCGCCTCGGCATTTTGGAGGCAGTTTGGTTTTGAGCTGAGATGGGAGTGACTGCTGTCCCAGGTCACGTCCCTGTCAGACTTCACGTGTGGGAGAGAGCGGGCAAGCTTTGCCTTAAGGGCTACGCTGGGGAGAACAGAGCCTGTGCAGACAGTCTGGGGCACCAGGGCGGCCCCATCCATGCCCCCGTGCATTACACTTGTGCATACACAATCATACACACATTTTTCTCTCCCCATCTCTCTCTTTCTTGCACACACACACTCATCTGCCAGTCCTATCTGTGCTGCCTGGGTCCTTGTTCAGTTTCACTCCCAAGACAGTTTCACTTGAGTCAGTAGTTTGATGAGTCTAATCCTTTCGGATCAACTGGAGTACCAAATCCAGAATGTTATTATTCATCCAAGAGCTGCATCGACTTGAGGAACCGTCTATCACCACTTAGAACACGACTCATTTCCATTTTCAGTGTCCAGAAACATAGACCCTACTTGTTTTTGAAAACCTGAGTCTTTGGACCCGTATGCTGCAGTGATTTCTCTGAAAAACCCCACATAGCAACATAGTTTGTCTGCACTGGGATTTCTTCTCCCCAGCTTGAACCATTGGAACCCGGGACAGACACAGGTCCTTATCTTTGCTCTTTGGGGTCAGGGCCCCCATGCCTGTCATTTGGGGCATGAGCCCCACTACACACCCACCCCTTTGAATCTGGCTCTTGGTTTCCCTTGTGTAAGCAGACAGGCTGGGGTGGGGGTCATGGGGGAGGGAGGGACTGGAGCTGGAGAGGATGTCATCCTGGTCCCTCATGGCACGGTGTCTCAGAATTACATATTCATGCTGGCAACCACAGACTAGTCCTAGAGATAATTTTCTTTCCCAGAATATGACAATCTGTTCCCATGTATAGCGCACTGATGACCTTAACAATTGTGCAATTTTAGGGACCTTTGATTGCAACGGCCTTTACAAATGGATACCATTGAGCAGGTGCTTTCGTTGCCATCTCACTCTGAGGTATTACCGTCTCTGCCATGTGTCTCCACCCTGCCGGTGTGTCCGTACATGTATGTGCACTGGTCATACATGTATGAGCATGCCCTTGTCTCATCACATCAACATCTCTCCCTCCTCTTTCTGGACCCCTTTTCAGGCGGGTGGGGGCAAGAACAAATCCAGTCTTTTAATCTCTCATCCCTTCCTCCAGCTTTTAATCATGACCTCACCTTTTTTTATTCTCTCTCTCTCTTTTTTTTTTATTTTGGGGTTTTTTGGTTCTTGAGTTGGTTCTTTTGATTCCACTTCTGTATCGTCCCTACCGTCATCTTTCTCTGTCTTGAAATACAATCAAGAGTGTGGGAAACTGGAAGGCGATTTCATACTATGCCCATGGGGTGGGGGTGGAGGTAGGGAACTTCTGGACTTCTGCCAAGCCTGGGGACAGGAGACGGGGACCAGGGCCACTCCCGAAGGTCCTGTGAGCTGACCTTGTGGGTTGCTGGGCCCTTTCAGCTCTCCAGGGCTCTCTGGGGCTCAGCCAATGGGATTCATGCCGTCAAACAGCCAGACTCCATCTTTTAGTGAAAAGAAAACATTTTTGCCAGTAACTACTGAGTAATTATCCAGATTACCGCACAAAAAGCAAATTAAATTAACGACATCACCTGCATAACGTGGATTTGGATCCCTGCCAGTTTCCTAACCTTTTAAACTGAGCTCAAGTTAATTAAACATTTTTTTAAATCACTTTGATGGGGATATGGAGGGGGTGGGACAGAGGAGAGGGAGGTTGGGGCGGGCAGTGAGCAAGCCTCCTGCCACATTCTCCTCAAAAATGAGTGTCTGTCATTCTTGGGAAGAACTCCAAGCAGGGAGTGGGGTTATCCTGGAAAGCACTAGATGTGTGCTGCATTAGTACATGAGGTTGAGGGGAGTGGGTTGGAACACCAGCCGGTCTCCTTGAAGTGGGAGGGCGACAGCTGAGGCCTGAGAATGGGTTCCACTCGGGAAATCCCACTGGCGCACAAGAGCCTTTTGCTCTTGGAGTGGGATAGAAAAGGCCTGTGTTGGGTCTCTGGTGCAGAGTGATTGCTCCCAGCCCTGAGTCAGCCAGGACTGGGTCTGGTGAGACCAGCTGGGGACCAGGTTGAGTTAAGCTCCACAAATCTCTGGATTCCTCTCATGTTGCTGCTAAGGAATCACCTCAACTAACGCAGCTGCCTCTCTTAACCCAATAAGCCATGTGTGTGAATTCTCCCCAGCCCTCACCTCCACTCCCCTTCAAGCACTGACCCAGCCATTGCTGGCCAGAGCCAGAGGCCACTAACAGTTTGAAGGAGAGCTTCTCGCTACTAATTAAGCTGGGTTTGGGGGCCCAGAAAGGTTTCTCTGTAGAGCAGGGAGGACCGATAGATCCAAAGACTGGGGATTGAAGAGAGCTCCAGCCCCCACCCCCATGGAGTCAGATGAAGAGGGAATTAAACAATCACTGGGCGCCACAGAGCTTTGGCAGCCAGTTGTTGAGATGCTGGTGCTCCACCTTCCCTTCCTTTCCCGGGAGTGTGGACCTCCTCCCCCCAGCGCCCTCCAAGGGGTAGGGGTAGGCAGAAGTCAGCTCATCTCCCTCACCCAACTCTAGGACTCAGTTTCCAAAGAAGGCTGACGTAGCCAAGAGAATGGAGGCAGCAGCCTACCCCTTCCAGAAGGAACTAAGTGAGCCAGTCGAGTCACGGGATCACACCGTGGCTGTTGGGGACTAGCCAGATATACACTTTGTCCCCAGCAGAGGTGCCCTTCTGACATTTGGTGCCATCCATAAAAGAGGGGCCCAGACCCACAGCCAATTCAGGGCGACCCATTCAGCAAGTCTTTGAGTCCTGAACTTAGTTTTGGTCTTCCCAAGTGGGTTGTGGTGTACTTTGTTTTTTTTTAAGTATCCCAACCTTCAATCCTTTGGTATATAATATGAATTTTTTTAGTATACATTTGCACTTTCAGTTATCCATGGGTATCTACTAAAGGCAAAAGTTTTTCGTTACCACTTAGTTTTGAAAGCAAGTTTAAACTATCTGGTCAATGTGCAGTTGGACCAGCTGGCTGGAAGTCCAAACGCAACCCGTTAGCTGGCGAGACCCTTCCTGCCATAACCACAAGAAGCCTCCAGTCCTATAGCCCATCAGCGAAGGAGTCACAGAGCTGCCCTCGCCTGGGCATCAGGCGTGGCTTAGACTTAGATTTCCCAGGCTGTGATCTCAGAAAGGTGTTAGCCCCCCCCCCCCCTTCGTCACACATGCCCAGTCTCCCAGCCTAGGCCTATGGAAACTCATCGTAGTTGAACGGTTGCAGTTAGTCACACCCTTACCTGACCCTTTTTCTCTCTCCTCCCACCCCCTCCACTCTCTGTTCTCTTTGGGATCCTTCTGACCTTCCTGGCCCTGCAGAGCATACCTGGATGTCCAGGCAAGACTGGGCGAAGTTTCTGAGTGGCCCTTTGTTTAGGTGATGTCCTCAGACCTGGACCCCCACAGCCTCACTCCTCATCCCAACCAGAGATGGCTCACTTCGGATCGAGGGTTGACTACATCTCATCTCACGAATCTGCTGTAATATACGACGACAGCTTTTAAATGTGTATATAATCCATGATTTTTGGTTTGGTTTTGTTTTGTTTTTCTTGATGGTTTCCCTTCCCCTTCTCTATTCCCCGCCTCCTTTTAAATCTCTTTGAATCACAATTTGGTAGTAATTTTGACTTAGTCCAGTAGTCACCTAGCTTTAATATCTAGTCAAAAGCTAACCATAGTATAATTGTTATATTAAGGAGTTACATTTTTTTTTCTTTAAACAATTTTTTTTTTTTTTTTTGCTCGTTTTGATTCTGTTCTCACTTTTAAAGGATGCTGAGATGGTGATGTTGCTCTCCATATTTTGGTACCAATTCTGAGACTATGAATTTTTCAGGTGGAACTTTAGCACACCACGCAGCTGTTGTGAGGAGGGGAGCGGGAGGTGGGCGTAAACTTTCTGTTTTGCGTTGTAGACGAAGTGAGATGTAGTAGGCTAATTAACAGACTCTTTAGCGGTTCTTTTTTTGTGATGTCTCTTTGTTAACCTAAGTATCTATTTTCGGCAATAAGGTAAGGACGACCATGTTTTGGGTGTCCTCCTTTTCTATAAGTGCTTTTTTTCTGTTGAAAGAGGTCATATTATAAGGTTTTTTGAAATTGTGAATTCTAAAAAAAAAAAAGAAAAAAAAAGAAATGTTGTAAATACAATTCCATTAACTACATAGAAACTATTAAGAAAGAGAGAATCAAAAAAAAAATATTTTTGTGAGGGAGTCGGTCCCAGGCAGTTTGATGCTCGGGAAGGAGGAGGGGATGAATGGAAGGTTGACCAAGTCCGGTACTGAGACTGAGGAACACCCAGCTGCCAGGACGACCCCGGACAAGTGAGGGCGCTGTCGAGCTCTGTCGTCAGTGCGATAGACCTATGAACTGTACTAGTATCCTACCAGCCTATCAACCTCTCTGTCTGTGCACAGCTTCAGATGTTACCGTCTAGCTAGATTTTTATTTAAAATATGAAAAACTGCTTTTCCCAAGACGTTTTTTAAAGACAAAGCTACAATTTTAATATTTAACATATTTAAAGTTTCAAAGCACACCTGTTTGGCTTGGGGGCGGGTCAGGGAGGGGACATTCTTTTTCAGTCTTAATTTTTAAATATTTGATCATTTTCTATCGTCCAATCATTTCAGCACCTCCAAACGTTCCTAGGACCCTCTGCCTCTCTCCTCCCCCTCCCCTGCCGACCCCAGCCCCAGATCTGGGGGCCCCTGGGCCAGGAGTGGATACACCTGCATGAATACAACCTTTTCTCCATTCACTTTCTATTTACAAATTAGGAAAGCAACCTTTTGGTTTATATATTTTTTTTTAATACCTCAGTGCTGCAAGTATCACCAGAGAGGCTATGGAAGAATTCTTTTTTTTTTTTTAATTTATTGTAGATGTAAACAGAATTTTAAAAATAAAAAGTATAAACATCACTGCACTGTGACTGGTGGGAAAAACTGACAGTTTCCTGTTTGCACATGTTTAACATTTGGCTGTTATAATATATGGTCCTCGGTTGGGGAAAGACACTTATGATGAAGGATATTTTTTAATTTAACTTTTTTTTAAATATTGGTAATAGGTCAGCAACAGCAACTTATAGAAGTACAACTCAATAGATGGCATTAAAACATATTGTAGTGTGGATATATATTTTTTTCTTTTTAAAAGATGTGATATTGACGTTTTATTAATATTTTTTAAATTGTTACGTTTATAAATTTGGTACTTAAGGCACAGCCAGTATGAGACACTGAATGCGACATTTATTATAAAGAGCTGCTGCACTCCTATTTTTATAAATTTTACTAACAAAGTAGACTAATGTAGACATTCACAGACATGGTAGGGCAAAAGCATCTTTAAACTAAAGACTTCAAAATACTAACTCAGAAAGAAAGAAAAAAAAGCCTTTTTCAATCCTTATTAAACAGCTACAGCATTTTTTTTAGAAGAGAGAATCATGTTCTTTGTTTTTCCAGTAAAATATTAGGTTGTTTGGAGAGATTTGCGGGGGGAGGGGGGATTTTTTTTTCCTTTCTATTTTTTTTTAAATGTATTAATTTCCAAACAACCAGGTTAAGTAAAATGCTGGACGCTTTTAAAATATCAGAACTTCCTCAAATCATAAAATAACAAAATAGAAGTTTTATTTTAAGAAAAAAGAGACAATAAATTCCCAGATTCAGTGTCTAGCAAGGGGATTTAGTTACTTTTGTCCATGTTGGTGACGTACTGTATCCCCTTCCTTTTCTCTGCATCCCCATCACCTCGTAGAAGACTCTTGGTTGATCATTGTCTGTTAATAATGTATAAAATGGCTATCTTGTAAGCGTGCTGTCCTGGTACTAGTGTAGTGACTTTTTTTCTCCTCTTTCTTCTAGTACATATTGATAGGTATAATGTAATTAAGGTTTAAAAAAAAAAAAACTAGACATAGTTATTCAGATTTAGGACCAGTAAGGATAGAACTTTCTCTTATTTATGAAAAGAAAAAAAAATGCTGATAATTTTGGGGCAGTTTTTTCCTTTTAATTTTTTTTTTTTCAATTTCAAGTTTAATTTTTATTTTTCCTGATCTGATGTGGTTTCATCTAACCCAAGGTCTCACAATGTTCAAATGCCGACCAACTCTACGGCATTTTGTGGATCCCCACCCCCCCTCACTGTGAAGGGGTGTGCCATACTACCTTAAATGCTAATGCTAGATATGCAAAACTGGATTTTTTTAATTTATTTTTTAAAAGAGGGAGGCATGGTATATTAAAATGATTTTACTAAGAGAAAAAAAAATATTTTTTTAAGAATGCTCAGAAGAAATTGATAATCTGTGTGAATATGTTTTAGATGTTTATATACCTTTTGAAGAGACCCAGTAGCCCATAGCACAAATCTCGTGGAAATCTGATATGTTTTAATGTGGCTACCTAGGTTAAGGTTCACGTTAGTCCCCCCACCTCATCTAGAAGTCCATTTCAAATGATTTTTGTAAATTCTTTTAGCACTGATGTTCAGCCTCGTCTTTGTTTCAGTTAAGCTCAATGGCGAACCTGGGACCCACCTTTCACCTTCCCTGAGGGAGAAACCCTCTTGGCTAATGGCTCTTGGTGTAGCCACCGGGAACTCTGGCTTTCAGATCCATCTGCTGGAAGCCCCAACCTCCTCTTCTCCTGAGCAGAGGAGAGTGAGTGGCCGTGGGGTAGATGGAGTTGGCAAGCCGGGGTCTCCTCTCCAGGAGCCTCTGCAGAGGTTGTTGGTGGTCTTCCTCATCCCGCTCTGGACCACCAGACGGCCTCATGCTCTATGCCAGTCGCTCATTGGCTTGATTCAAACGAAGCCCCAACAGGCCTTGCGTTTTTATCCTTCATAACCATCATCTTAATTTGAACTTGTAGCTTGGGCTTTAAGGTAGCATGGCTCAATTGCTGTGGATTTAATGTCTCACTGCACAGCAGTTCACAGCCAGTGAATGTTACACACATCTTGCTAGACTAGTATAAAAATCATTGGGTAATTGTTGGTTCTAATGACCTGAAAGGTGTTCAGTTTTTGTTTTCCTTTTTTTTCAATCTTCGAGTTTTCTTATTTTTGGTTATTTTGTTTTGTTTTATTTTGGATATATTTTTTTCTTTTTTGGGGGAAAATTTTTATTTTTGGTTCCAACTAGAAAAACAAAACCTATTTTGATCTTTAGTGCAAACGAGGGCTAGGGACTTAGCCTCCACCACCACCACCACACTGCTTCATTCTGCCATTCACTCACTGCAGCATATTCAAGAATAAAGCAATATAGTTTACTACATTTTTTATTGAAGGTCAGCCATGCTTTCTGTATTATATTGCATATGAAATTGTTTACAAAAGAAACACTAACTCATACTTTATCAGTTAGAAGTGACACACAGGGACAGAGGGAGACTAGGGGGACAGGTGGGGAGGGGAGTTTTTTTTTGTTTGTTTTTTTTTTTATCTTGAATGTGCTTTACCAGCCAGGTGATCTTCCAAGGAAGACAAAAGCCAGGAGGGTAGAGGGTAGAGAAGAGGGACCGGCTGCAGGCAAGCACATTGGATAGAGACACTGGGGAGTTGCCCACCCTCACCCTAGAGCAGAAAACAAGCAGAGGTCAGCTCAGCTCAGTCCTGGGCACGGACACTACACCAGATGATGCTGGAAGTTAAGCAATACTTTAATACTGTCATGTGTTCGTTTTCTTTTTCTTTTTTCCTTTCACCAAAAAAAAAAAAAAAGAATAATAATAATAAGTAAGTAAACTAAAGTACAAAAATCATGTGAATCAAACCCACCCCTCTCGGGGAGCAACCTTAATCCAAATACCCGGCTATCTAATAATCAGAATGTATTGTCTCAGACAGGATTTCGTTTCCGGGAGGCAGGGAGTGAGAGGGGAAGGGAACGGGGACTGAGAGACAAAAGTTCCAGAGCCTCCGTGGAAGGCTCCTGCTACTGTATTCTGTACATACTGTACCATCCCGTGTGGAGTCTGTGAGTGTGCTCTTGAGTAGCGTGGGCTAGCCAATCTGCCGTTCACGGTGTGTTGTAAACTCGGAATTCCATATGTAATAGGTTGCAAGTCTAAGCGTTTCATGTGGACATAAATGTATCTAAATAAAACTTTCCCTAGCACTGTGGCTGACCTCACCCTTACTTTTATACTTTAGTATGAAACCGATGAGAACTTTGGTAGTGAGTATTTTTTTTATATATATACATATATATGTATCTATATATATATCTATCTCAAGCATCTTTCAGGTCTTTGTGTGTGGCTTTCTTAAAGCCCTGTTGTAAAAAAATTACTATGTGGATGGCAGTCTCTCACATCACAGATGTGGAAAGTATAATTTTATATTTGTATTTTCAAATAAATAAGTTTGTGAAAGGTTTCCATCCTCTACTGTGGTCCAGAAATCAATGTGTTTGTCTGACAAAAAATAAAATAAAATAAACTGTTTTGAACAGGGTTGTCTGGTGTCCTTGCACCGTGGGAGAGGACTAGGGTGGGGAGAGCCGCTGTGGGGGTTGGGGAGAGGGTATCACCGAGTCCCACCTGCCCCGCCTCGCCTCGCCCCTTGGCTTGAGTGTTGATCTGGGGGCCTCCAACCAAGAAGTCCTTTCCCTGTTGAGCCATTGTAATGAGGGACTGGAGACCATTAAGGTGGAAAAGCAGGCCAGAAAGTAGGGCAGATTAATAGTGGAGGTGCTCAGAATCCCTGGGAGTTCAGGGAATACGTGGCAAAGGTCCTATGAGACTGTAGGACCCAGAAGTGGGGAACAGCATAGAAGAGCTAAGTGACCCCCTCTTGCCTGCCTCGGCTAGTTTCCAACAGTATGTGGGAGAAGGGGCCAGGGCACACTCCAGATGCCTGAACGGGACTGGAAGCCTGGCCTGTGTCCTTAAGGAATTCAGAGTTTTGCCAAATAGAAATAACTAGCATCACAAAACTGAAGGTATAGAGAGAGATTCTCTGCAGTGTTTGCAACCTCCTGTTTACTAAGCAATTGAGAAGAAGCAGAAGAACCGAGACAGCTCATTGAGGACAAAGACCTGGTGGTAACCAGCGGGATTCCTCGGGTTTGTGGCCCCAGATACAGACAGCCAAGGCACCGGGTTTGTACGGAATAAACCACGCAGTTTAGAGTATTCCTGTTGCTACTCCCTCAAGGCCTCGGGAAAAGCCCTGGTCCCCAGGACATGGCCTTCTTGGGTCCCTCCTCTGATTTCCTGCTTTAACAACCATCTTATGAGCATCCCCACTATACCAAGGACCTAGGGAGAGGCTAGAGAGAGTAGCACTAGGTGCCACGCTAGCTCCTGTGTGTCTATAGACAGGGCCACAATACTCCAGTATCCCATTACCTTGAAGGATTATCCCTGCTGTCCTCCAGAGACAGAAGAACCCTGGGGACTAGTGTGAGAAATGCCTTCCAGGAATTCTGAGCCGAGTGGTTCAGAGACCTGAAAAGGGCCATCTTGGCCATCGGCATTCTGATGGCTCAGCTCAAAAGAAGGTGAGGCCCAAGCACAGCCCAGGAGCCTAGAGAGAGGGAGCACAGGGAACAGGCACACCAGCTGTGAGCCAGACGGGCCACAATCTAGTTAGTCCTGCACCTGCTGCGAGCCTGTCTACAAAGAAGATAGGTCATATTTAGTCAGCCTTTTCATTGCTGTGACTAAAAGACCTGATAAGGACAATTTTTAGAAGAGGGAAAGTTTATTTGGGGGCTCATGGTTTCAGAGGTCTCCGTCCATAGACAGCCGGCTCCATTCCCCAGGGCTCAACGTGAGACTGAACATCAGAAGGTGCAGTGGACAGAAGCAGCTCACATGATGATCTGGAAGCAGAGAGGGACTCCATTCACCTGACACAAAATATGTACCCCAAAGGCACACCCCCAGTGACCCACCTCCTCCGGCCAACACTATCCCCTTCAGTTACCTCTCAGTTAATCCAGTTAGGGATTAATTCACTGATTGGGTTAAGGTCCTCATAACCCAATTGTTTCTCCTGAACCTTCTTGTGTCATCGCACACATCAGCTTTTGGGGGCCACCTTATGTCCAAACAATAACAGGTAATTTGTCCATGGTCAGAATGAAACCTCATCTCTAGGACATCCTGCTGCCCCTGGGTTCAAGGCTGGTGACCAGTGTCAGCATCAGGACTGGGTGAGCCTGGGAGGTGGGGTGGGTGGGGGACCTCGAACCTAAGTGCCCACCTAAACCAATGAAGAGGTAGAAAAATACCAATTAGAGGAAAAATATTTTTTCACACTCTAGTGTTTCATAGAGAAACATTAAAAAGAGAATAGAAAAAAATCAAAAACTGGGAAAGGAAAAGAAACAACAGTAGGCAATTTAATATACAAAATAAGATGGAAAGAATGAAATTAAGTAAATCCAGCATTGTCTCAATACTAATGGATTGAATTTGCTACTGTTAGAAAACAGTAACAGTTTGGTGGCAGGAGGAGTTGGTGGGGAAGAGCCCAGTTCAATGCCAGGTACAGAAACACATATAAGTGATAAAGAAGGCTGAAAATAAAGGGGTGACAAAGAAAATAGGCAAATGCAAACCAAATAAAGGACAGGAATTGAAGTGTCAGTATCAGATGTGATGAAACTTAACTTTTATTTTTTTAATTGACTTTTTTGGTGCCAGGGATTGAACCCAAGGGCACTTAACGACTAAGCTACATCTCCAGCCCTTTTTATTTTATTTTTTTATTTTGAGGCAGAGTCTCACTAAGTTGATTAGGGCCTCACTAAACTGCTGAGGCTGACTTTGAACTTGTGAACCTCCTGCCTCAGCCTCCAAGCCACTAGATTACAGGCATACACCACCAGACCCGGATAGAACTTAACTTTTAGCAAGCACCCTAGACACAATCCTTAAAAACAAGAGAGCAGCGATAAAACTTTGAATAGAGAATATCTATTTTTATGTATATCCATAGAACATACACAAAAATTTACTCAAATAAATTTTGCAGGAAAAAAACCCACAGATTTAAATAGGTAGCAATTTACAGCCCACCTTCCACTATCACCATCCATGTGGCTATAACCATGTAACTGCATGGAAATTAGGAAACAATTTTATGTATTCTTGGGTCAAAGAGGAAAGTTAAAGAAAATTACAAACTATCTAGAAAGTAACAATAAGCACACAGTGTATGGAAATCTATGACATGCAGCCAAAGCTGTATTCAGGAAAATGTATAGTTTTAAATGCCTTTGATGAGAAACTATTTTTTTTTTCAGTGAAGAAACAGATGATTCATATTAATAAGGTAGCAGATAGTAACTTTAAAAAACCAGAAAGGAAAAAAAGGATAGAGGCCAAAAGTGAAAGAGCAAATAAACATAAAACCTGGATATTTACAAAGATTAATAAATCCTCTTAAATAGAGGGGGAGAGCAAAAGTGTACAATATTAGGGACAAGAAAGAAGACATAAGTCATTGATAACAGAGGAAAGAATTAATAATGGCAACAAATCTAAAAAGTGCAGAGGAATCAGAAAATATCCTGCCAAACATAAATTACCAAAACCAGTAAGATAAGTAGGAAACTGGGCTATTACCACAAAGGGTAATGAATGAGTAATTAAAGGATCTAATGCTGGAAAACAGACTGTAGCCAAATGAGTTTATTTTCTGATAACTACAATGCCATTTAAACAAACTCATTTAAAAACCAAATGATAGAAAGGTATACCAAGCACTCCTATTTTATGAAGCACATGGTTCTGATGTCAAAACTCAATACAGGGGCTGAGGTTGGAGCTCAATGGTAGAGTGCTTGCTTCACGTGTGAGGCACTGGGTTCGATCCTCAGCCCCACAGAAAAATAAGATAAAATGTGTCCATCTACAACTAAAAAAATTGTTTTAAACATTTTATTTTATTCATTTATTTAGTTATTTTTTCTATAAACTCAATACAGTACTAAAAAAAAAATACACCTACACACTTAGGAGCTCACATGCAAAAATTCCAAATATAATTTTAGTAAGTAGACTACTGCAATGTATCAAGGGTATAATATAATAAGATGAAGCAGGACTTCTTTCAAGAATGTAAGCATATTTCAATATCAAGAAATCTCTGATCACAATCCATTATATAAGGAAGGATTTATGTAGTCCATTATCTAAAGGAGAAAAATGTAGTCATAACATAAATGTTAACAAAGCATTTGAAAAATATGGCAGCTATTTCTAATTAAAACACCACAAAAAGTTGAAACAGAAAACAATTATATACAACATAATAAAGACTATTTTCTAAACCCAACATTAATTATTATTATAAACAGTAAAACAAACTATTTTAATTAAAATAAATTTGTAGGTTGCTTCTATCACTAGTAATATTTAATATTGTCTTGGAGTTTCTAAAGGGAATAGAATAAAATACATAAACATTGGAACGAAAAGACAAAAATGTGGTTATATTCCTAGAAACTTCAAGATACCCCAGTAAAACAAACAAGCACATGAAAATTGCCACTGAAATTGATGTTAAACTTGGAAAGATGACTAGATGCATGATAAATATACAAAAAAAAAAAAAATAGCCTGCTCTTCAGCAACAATTACCTAGTAATGGAAATAGGGAAAAAAAGTTTAGGAATGAATTTTATAAGAAAGATATATGCTCTATAATAATGGTTGAACTCCCCAACACTAGGGAGATGGTCGAATAATGTATGGTACATCCACACCATAGAAAATTAGGCAGCCATGAAAACAAAAGAGACCTATATTATAATGGATGACTTGAAGGAATTTGTGAGGTACTATTGAATTAGGCAAAATAGCTACAAAAATGCATATATTAAATGCTTTTTGTTGTTGTCATTTTTCAGATTAAGCCAACCAAACTACGTATGAGCCAGGCATGGTGGTGCACACTTATAATCCCAGCTACTTGGGAGGCTGATGCAGGAGGATTGGAAGTTTGCAGCCAGCCTGGCCAATTTAACAAGACCCTTTTTCAAAATAAAAAATAAGAGAAAGGCAGAGATGTAACTTAGTAGTAGAGTACACCCAGGTTCCATCCCCGGTACTAAAAAAAAAAAACCTTACATATGTATATGTGTGGACCTTACATACATATGTACCTTACATACATGATTACATGAGCACAAAGAAAGGGGTATGATCTATATTGTTTACATGGTTACCTGGTACGGGGGCAGGATGAGAAGGAAGACTGAAGTGGAAAAATGGGCTAGGGTGAAGAGAATACAAACCAGGAAACAATGCTTAAGAATTGCAATATTAGTTAATCAAAAATTAGCATGATATGTTGAATTTTTAAATTGAAGAGCAAAAAATAAAATATTTTCAAAAGAAAGCTAGAATAGGACTGGGGTTGTGGCTCTGTGGTAGAACGTTCCCCTAGCATGCATGAGGCACTGGGTTCGATCCTCAGCATCACATAAAAATAAAATAAA